ATATTTGTTGGACAGAAGAAATATCCTGAGTATAATATCCATATCCTCAGATGCAGGAGAATCAGGTTTAGATTTCTGGTCCAAACGATTTCCTAGTACTGAGGTTTCATGGCTGCTCCCACTACAATTTTCTGGCTTGGATGACTTACTGATAGGCATTAATTTCTTAATATGTGTTGTACTGAAAGACTGAGGTCTACTGTTTTGACTTTGGCTAGTAATAGCTATTTTAGGCTTTGGAAAACCAGAGATCTCTTTAGGGATTTAGCCATATGCTCGTAGATATTAGTTCTTAGCTAATTAGGTCTCTAATTAGCTTACAGTAGAGACTACAACTCCATTGCAACAAAACCAAACAGAACTTCACTTACAAAATTGCAGATTTTTGTTCCAGTATTGCTCAGAATAATGATTGCCTCGGTCTCTCCTCTTCAGGGACAGCAAAGATCACTAATGGCTGCTGGTCTGCCAAGATCAGATTTCATGAGTACATTGTTCTAATAGTTATATTTGAATTGTGTTAATAATTGATATTTTTGTTAACATGCATGTTAACATGTGCTTATTACTGCACTAAAAGTTGAACTATAATCTTTTTTCACTATACATGAATTAGTTTATAAGTTATGACAAGTTAGTACTTCAAAGATTAAATAAGTGGTAATTCAACAGAAAAATACATTTGCATTTAGATAAGACAAAATGAATATTTTTTCAGTTTTTCTAAATATTTATACAGCAAAAAACAATGCCCATCCAATATTAGTCATCTTTGAACTAACCTTAATCAAACTGTATTGCATTAAGATGAAGATTTTCATACAGACAGACTTGTCATTGTTTTCCAAACTGAAAAAAACAACTGGTGAAGCTACTCACTCTCTATCTCCAATCAAATTAAAGCATTAAAAATTTCTGACTGTGGAGTTTAAAGCTTTCGGTGTTTGTTAGCCCATAGAGATGGAGCTGGTCTCTGATCTCAAAGACAGCTTTGCTGAGGAACCCCAACAGGAGCTTCCTCCTGTATTGCTTCAGAAGCAGTTTTTAAATGCCCCTTGATCCCATCTGAACTACACTGCAGCAGTGTCGAGATCCACTTTATCCAGACCTGGACCTTGACTCACAGACTGATTTATTTGCAGGCTTGACCTTAGCACCTGCCTCATTACTGTGGAACTGATGGTTCACTTCTCCAAGCCCAGCTATCAGATTCAGGGACTTGAGAGGCTTAATCACGCTTTACCAAGTGAAAAATGAGCCAACATGGTTTTTTTCTGTGTCCTTTGTTATTAGGTCCACACTCCTTTGAGGAGTGACTCACATTTTCCTTCACCTTCTTGTTGGAAGCTGGAATATATTGCCCAGAGAAGTTGTGGAGTCTCCTTCACTGGAGTTATTCAAGAACTGTCTGGACTCAATCCTGTGCCATGTGCTCTAGGATGCCCTTGCTTAAGGAGGGAGGTTGGACCAGATGACCCACCATGGCTCCTTCCAACCTTACCCATTCTGTGCTTCTGTGATTCTGTGCAGCTTCATCAGATACTCATATTCAGCTTAGAAAAGTGGGTCATCAATAAGATACAGAAGTATTTGCTTAAATGCCTGTTGTGCTTAAAATGCACCTCATGGTGGTGAGTGTTGTGAGTACTGCAGTAGTTACAACAGCACAAGTCCTACAATTCAGCTTACAGGATTGGCAAAGGCATCCATTCACCTCATTTGCTTTAGCAAAGAGTTTCTCTGGAGAAAGACTATGTAAAATAGGCACTGTCTTGTGCAGGCTGAGCTGAGCTTCTTATTTTCTTATCTTAGGTGAGAAAAAAAGTTTGCTGCCAAGAAGACAACAGTGAGGTACCTCAGCCTTTGACATGATATGCTATTTTTGCATATGCCTGCCATAAAAGCAAATTGAAAAGCTTAAATTGTCTTATTCTTCACCTTAAAACTTTTTCCCTCTATAGAAGCAATTTTGCAAAAATGAAATTTCATACTGCTCACCTACGTGCAGTGGTAGAGTGAATGTATTCTGTTCTGAGATATGGATGCACATTTCCACGTACCTGTCAAGTCAGATTTTTTCCATGCACACGATTGGTACTTGCAGGATCTACAGATAATTTACAAGCAAATTAGAAGTCATTCTAGTAGTTCCTATAGTTAGTCCTGCTGCATTGTGGCAAAATATGTTGCTTTCTGACATCTGTAAGATACATTTAATGGAAATATTTGTATCTTAGAAGTTTCAGAATGAAGTATATTAAATATTGTATTTGATATCTATAAATCAGATTAATACCTCCTTAATAAAGCATTCTGACATCTGCTGCTGAAGATGTAGGTGTTATTTTTGAATACTCTATTTGTAATGTAAAACCATGGATTTAATTCTTTCTCTGAGTGATACTATAAAATCACTTTTTTATCATTGTTCTCTTTCTCTGCTCCAAGGCTTTTTATGATAGCAATCTTCCTTTTATATACCTCCCAATGAAAAGCAATGTAGCATTTCAATCCTGCTGATTTTGCGCTCACACTAGTCATTGTCCTGCTTCCTACATAAGCAGTAAAGAATTAACTACATTGACAAAGTGAAACTGAATCTGCCATAAAGATTCTCAGATGCCTCACTGTATACTTTGCCCAGGATGACCTTTAAAGCAGCAGCATATTTTAATATAAGATTGACCACTGTAGCACAGTTCCTCCCTATATAAGTCTCGCTGTGCAAAAATTTGCTAAGAGAAGACTGACTTCCAAATGATGCATGAAGCAACAATGTCTATGTACAAAATGAATTACTATTGCTGATTGATTTTGAAATACAAAGACATCAGTATGGGGATTATATCTTCAACTCTATATATCTCTCTACCAACAGAGAGAATTGTTTCTTACCTACTGAAAAAAATGCAAGCACCTAAAAATCCATATGAAATATTAAGTATTCCTTTGTCTTTTGTACTTGATAGTGTTTATAAGTTTTAGTGATATAAATTACATCACTAAATCTGTTTAGTAAATTTTATTACTATTTATCTTCCAGGGTAATTGCTATTCTTAAAACTACTTTTATTTCTGGCAATTTTTAAGTATAGATGACAGGAACTTCACATTTTTGACATTATGTAATGTATTACTACAGACACTGCCTAGCCTTGATAGCATGCATAACAGCTATTATGATACTTAGGATGGGAGTGATTTGAAAATATATACATACATTGAACAACAGCTCATCAAAAGCCTCATTCTGATTATTCAAGCATTTCATAAGTCCATTACAATTGATATTCCAGTGATTAAAACTTACTTTCAGACTTACTGAGAATTTGTGACATCAAATCCATGCACCTTCCTCAGACATATTAACTGTAGTCTACGGGGGGAAATTAATGAAAAGGTCAGCTGTGCTGTTACTACTCATTCAAAAGGCATCCTCAAGTCAGGTTATGCTGGTAACAGGTGGGAGACCTGGATCCTGTATAATGGTGCATCTGGCTGCTGGATACAGTCCACCAGGTTCACCTTGAATCCTACTCAGAGAGAGGGGGTGTGACAAATAGACAAATGACAAATCTTGCAGCATGCTGGCTGTACTCCAGCTTAATAACTAAGGCCCATCTGCAATAAGCAGTATAAGGTGCAACTGGATGGTGAGTGGACCCACCATCAGACGCTATGCAGAAAACTTGAGTGTGGAAAGATAACATAAGGTTACCTAAGAATGCACTACAAGGATATACTGAAGGTATATTTCAGTGAATGTAAGTTACTATAAAACTATGAAATTGGGAGATGTTGGCTTCCTAGGAGAGAAGCGGCATAGCTTCAGCAGGAAAACTGAGAAGTGAGGGGGCCAACACTTACAGCTCAGGCATTTAGTACTGCTGTTTAACTAAATAGTAAAAAGAGCTTATAACACAGGTCTGAATACACCCTGCACATTTAAATAGCTTGGTTTATTCCAGTGAATCACAAATAGAGTAAAATAACAACCACATGATAATGTATTAGTGAATAACTAACATAATTTGAGAGACTATTTACAACAGCATGTAGTGACAGGACAAGGGGGAATGGCTTCAAACTGAAAGATTAATTTTAGATTGGATATTAGGAAAAAATTCTTTACTGTGATGGTGGTGAGGCACTGGAACATGTTGCCCAGAGAAGTTGTGGAAGCCCCATTCCTGGGAGTGTTGGATGGGGTCCTGGGCAACCTGGTCTAGTGGAAGATGTGCCTCCCCATGGCAGAGGGGTTGGAAACAATGATCTTTAAGGTCTCTTCCATGCCAAACCATTTTATGATTCTATGATAACTCAAATATGTAATGCCAATTTACTGAGAAAAATTGTAAATAGTTACATTAACAGTATAGAAAAGCATAATTATTTATCAGTTGGTTTAAGAAAGTTTAACCAGCCTGATTTTGTGGGGCATATGAAGAATTAGCACTGAGACAGGATGATGAAGTTGTGTACAGCTCAAAAGTGTACATTGTATCTTAACAGTAATTGTGTGAGTGCTTCATTTCAGTATAAGATAATGAATTACCAAACATTTCAGTAGCAATTAATGAGCACTTTCCACTTAAAAGGTACATTCTTATGACACACAAAGAAGCTCATTAAAAATCCTTCACTTAGATTTTAATCTGGATTTTGAGGAAAGAAATGTTTATTCCGACTCCTACAAAAGTACTTGCATTGAATTTTTAAAATACGTAAAATTTACAGTTACATTTATTTGAAAATGAATGCTAAGAAGATCACATTTATTTTGCATTACAACTATAGCCTAGATTGTTAATGAAAATAAGGCACACAGAAGACAATGGGATTGATTTGCTATTATCTAAGTTTTATTCTGTATCTAAGTTATTTTTATTCTTTGGAAAGGGAAGAATTGGAAGACTTATGTACAGCATTTATGAATTATGAACGTAATAATGCAGCCCTCTCAAAATCTTTCAGAAGACATTTTCTCTTGTATTTTTCAGGTATTTCCATTAGTGATCCATCTTTCAGAAGTAATGAATCATCATGGATGTCATTTGCACCCTTTTATATTCGCCATAAGACCCATATCAAACTACAGTTTCAGACTCTATCTCCAGATGGTATCCTGTTTTACACTGCACAGCAGTTGGGTACTCAGTCAGGTAAGGGTATTCCAGCTTGTTGGTATCATACACCCAGTTACTTTTTTGAAAAAGAAAAGCAGTACATTGAAGTGATTCAGGCATTCAGTCTCTGTAACTCGTTGTCCTTGGTGACTGGGTTTTATCATACAATAACAGAATGTTAAGGGGTTGGAATGGACCTTAAAGATCACCTAGTGCCAACCCTGCTGCCATGTGCAGGGACACCTCCCACTAGACCAGGTTGCTCAAGGCCTTATCCAACCTGGCTTTGAATGCTGCCAGGGCTGGGGCATCCATAACTTCCCTGGGCAACCTGTTCCAGTGTCTTACCACCCTCAAAGTAAAGAATTTCTTCCTAATATCTTACCTAAATTTTCCCTCTTTCAATTTGTACCCATTACTTCTTGTGCTATCACCACAGTTCCCGATGAAAAGTCCCTCTCCAGCTTCCCTGTAGGCCCCCTTCACATACTGGAAGGTTGCAATGAGTTCTCCATGCAACCTTCTCTTCTCCAGGCTGAACAGGCCCAACTTTCTCAGCCTTTATGCATAGGGGAGGTGCTCCAGTCCTCTTATCAACTTTGTGGCCCTCCTCTGGACTTGCTCCAACAGTTCCATGTCCTTCCTTTGTTGAGGACACCAGAACTGTACTGTACAGTTGTTTTGAACTGTGAATAATCAAGTTCATAAGAAAAAACATGCATGACACAGTTTTGGATCAGTCTAAAGCCAGCAAGTATTTAATGAAGTTATTTAATGGTTCAGGAAATCACTTCTCCCTGAAAAGTAACCATCTTTTCAGAAGCTACACTAAGATTCTCAATTCGGGGCATTGTCACAGTGTTTTAAAATGACCAAAAATAAAGCAATATAAAAACTGATCAGATAAGATAAGTGAAAGTGAACAGACTATGAGAGAGTTAATGAGGCTTCTCAGAACTGTAACTTTGTTGAAATGCTTGTTGGTGAAGCATGCAAAACATGCAAGTTCTTCATTTCCCAGAGAGGCAGAGAAAAAAAAACTAAATAAAATACTTCTACTATTTACAGAAGTATTTTCAACTTTACTAAGTTAACATTCCTAAAACTTCATGGCAAGAAAACATAATTTGCCAGTATAAATACATTTTTAAATTTAGTCTTTAAAGTGTACATTTTTTGTAATTACTTTATTAACATAATTAATCTTTATATTGCATTTACATGGTGCCTTGCATCTTTTTAAAAAGAAGCACTACATATCATTCATAACATCATCTTAGGGCAAATTTTCTGCTTGTATTAAGCAGTACGTTATGCAAAAATCGGGTTTTGTATGAAAAAAAAATTACTTAACTGTTTATCATTTATTTTTACATTCCTTTGCTTAAAGTCTAAAAACTCGTGAGATACTTCAGTAAACATACTCAGCCACAAATGCATATAAACCCACATATGCCCACTGTACCACCATCTTATTCTGTACACAGGTGTTTTAGCAGGCTGATAATGCATCATACACTGCTGGCACTTCCTGTTTTCCTTTTTCTAATTGCAATCATATACAGAGAAGCAGTTTAAAAAAAATATATATATATATAGAGAGCATCTATAATACAAATACATGTATTAGCAATGAGCTCTGTCTTCTACAATGAATCTTTTATAATTCCATCACTTACAGTGAACAGTTCTCTCCTGCATAAACTAAGGCATTACATGGGCCATGAAAAATAAAATAGAAAAAAAGGATCTCTCTCAAAAAGAATCGTCAGAGGTCATGAAAGTAGCTAGCATATAATGAAATTAAATATCTCTTTGGAAGCATCAAAGAGAGTGCTAAGTCTGCTTAACTTGGGCCAGGAGTGGTTTATCACAAGCATGCCCTCATTCTATTGCCATTCATGAATGTTTAGTTTGCACAGGAAGGAAAATTTTCTTTCAATCACTTTCTAGAATTATATTAATTCCATTTCAAAATAAAAACCATCTTATATAGAGTAATTTTTTTACAAATTTCCTACTTCCATTTTCACTGTCCTGATGTTTTGAAAGATTTAGGAAAAGCTAATTAGCTTGCTCTTTACATTTGCCTTCGTATAATCCTGTCAAATCTAGACAGAATTAGATTGATGAAAGACTCAGAAGTATTCTTAGCAGCCAGTAGATAAGAGTGAGCTTTCTCGTGGGGATTGGTTTAGAAAGCATTTTTAAAAAACCCTTTTTTTCTTCACAGTTATGTAAGATTTAATAAATTGATTGCCAAAATCTCAAGATTTTGTTTCTAAAAGTCCTTTTTAATAGGAAATAATTAGAACATTTTTGTCCTCACTAGGCAATGCCTTTTTTTTTTTTTTTCCTGAAGAAATCATCTCTGACACAGCTAATTTAGCAAAGATACTGAATTGCATGTTATACGTTGGTTTGGCTTGTCACCCATGTAAACATTACACTGAGACTTTCCCTTCAGAGGCAGGCCCTGCCAAACAATCCTCCCATCATTAAAAATAAAATCAGATCTTTAGTAGGTGAAGAAATAAACATGAGACTTCTGTCGAAACATTTCCTTCTGGCTTTGCTCTTTCCAAAGAACATTACAGAACCTTCTAGAAAGGGTGGGCAGGTGGCTGTCTCCTTATTGGAAAGTTGATCTGCCTCTATTCCTCTAACTAAATCATTACTTCAGTACACACACTGAAACACCTCTCCTCCTTTCTTCTTATAGTCTGGCTTATGTAAAAATCATAGAGAATACTGGGTAAATCTGGACCCTTCCTTGGTTACAAACTGGTCACCAAGGAAGGCCTAAGCCGAACTACCACATGGGCATAAAATGGAAAACATCCTATGAATCTGTTAGCAGAATTTCCTGTTGTTCTGTCAGTCACTCATTTTGTTTCTTTGTCAGCTCTTTCTGAATGTGTATCATGACTTTAAGTCTGGTAGTACTGACTTCTGCAACCGTAAGAAAATAATTGCCAAAGTTTGGCAAAATTTATGTGGATATCCAAAATAAGAATAACCTGGGAAAAAAGCCCAACCCAACAAGTGAGTTGTGTATGTGTATCTTAGTTCAGAAACTTGCAGATAGAATGACAAGGGGACTTTTTTCTCCTCTTTGATTACTTGTCCTATGCACTGCTTCTGGGCAAGGTCTCTGCAAACATTACAGCATTCATGTGGAGTCCAGCACAGTGACAGTAGACGGCCATCCACTTCACATTTTCTCAAGGGCAGTGTATCCTATTTCTACCAGTGAAAGCATGGGACTCTTAATGATTAAACAGCCTTTAATTTAGACAGGGCTTGCTTGATGCCCATCAAGTGTTGGAACAGCGTATATTCAGTCCATTTACATATCAAACACTGTACACACTTGCTTTTTTGTTGAGTCACAGAATTACTGAAGCTTTACATTTGTTTGCAGAGGTGGAATATGCTGTAGATTGCCTGCATTATTCCAGAGTTCAGGTCAGGGTGATGGAAAGGGTGATCTCTCCCTGATGAGATGAGAAAGAACAGTTATGCTGGGTGACTAAGAATGAAGTCAGGTTAATAAAAAGAACGGGATGACTCATGCTAAATTTAACACTCAACATTTGCAACAGCAGTTCTCTGTCTCTCTTTAACCAGATTATGTTACAAACCTGGTTTGAAAAACCTCAAAACTTTAATTCCTGATATTTAAGGCATTTAAGTTTATAAACCTGTAAGCCAGTAGGGGTGTGTGATGCCTGGCTTTATAAAACATTGTTTATGCCAAAAACTGAATTATGGAACTGGACTAAAATCTTTTGGAAATATTCAAAATTGCTAGGATACCCACGAGGCAGGAGTGTTGTTTTCCTAACCAGAAACAAACTGATTATCCACCTACTTTTAAAATAGGACCTGAAGAGTGGTTAAGTCTTCTCTCTTGGCAGCCATGTCTCCTTAGCTGACAGGGACATCATTTCTTCTTTGTTACTAATTCTGGGATCATTTGTGTGGATTAAATTAGTGGCTTTGGAAGCCAAACTGCCAGGCAGAACAGACATCCCCACTGTCCTGAAATCTGTTCCATAGGAAATGTTGTTGTTCCCCATTTGCCACTGGCAAGCAAACCAGAACAGGTTGGCAAACTGAGGTTGCTCAAGGAAGATGGCTCCTTCTAGCTGCCGAAATGTGCCAGGGCAACAGTGGTGACTAAAGGAAGCGGGAAAATTTCTCCACCAAGGAGAGATATGTTTTTGAAAGGTGAGATCGAATTGTCTAACCTACAAATAGGGAACTACCCATCCCTTGTAGATGCACGAGCATCACTGTCTACAGGGTTGCTCTGGATCCTAGCTCTGGGATAGTACTCCAAGTTGAAGCTGGAATCTACCTATTGTCAAAGTGATTTTTTACATAGTTTGAGAAATTTACAGGCTTGACTTGACACCTGTTCTCAGTCTTGCATTAGCTGTGAGATGGGGTTCTATACATGGAGTAGAATAATTTGTAATAACCCATGAAGGCATATCCATGGGTACCTCCTATAAGTGTGTATTAGGGGCACTGGCTATGGTCATCACTAGATAAAAGATCAAGTTAAAACAGGCTGATATAACCTGTCAGCTGACTGATATCTAACTGTATGTGTGGACTTAGACCAGCGCAAAGACAAGGTTAAATTTAATAAACCTAAAGGAAAGCAGGAAAAGATATTAAACTGACAACAACACACTTCAACCATGTTGACATATTACAGGCTGGGAACTAACAGCAGAGGCTGCAGAAAAGGTGGGAATAAGGCTCATCTCTTCCCTATCCTTCATTCCCTTGTTCTATCCATTTATAGCTCTCCTGCTTCTTCCTTGCTTTCTCTCCTTCATTCTGCACCTTATTCTGGCTATTGGAAATGCTCAGGAGACTAGCTCTGAAGGACAGCTACTGGTCAGTTAGGTTTCCTCTCATGTGGACACCACAGTGCATCACTTTCCTTGGCCACAGTGTAGCCATTCAGCTGGAGGCTGACATGGCTACTTCAAACCCTTCTAGACAAGAAAAATTCTGCCCCTGGAAGAATATGTAAGTGGTCACAGTGTAAAAGGACATGGTTCAGGTTCATGGAAAATCATACACTAGAGCAGGATGAGAGGAATACTGTGAAGAACAGAATGATCAAAAAAAAGAATGAAAGCAATGTGAACTCAGCTCAGCAAGGCAGGAAAAAGCAGTGAGCAAAGATACATTTTTGACCTATGATGGCTACAGGATGCATTATACTAACAAGAGGCAATAATACTGCTGGAGACACAAACGCTTTATTATGGTGGCTTAACAAGGTCAGTTTAGACTGAAGATGAGCACAGTGGAACATACAGTAAGAGGTTTCATTAACTGGGAATGATTCCTGTGAATGTTATTGTTTATGAGAAGATAAGGCTCTGTTTGCTATGACGCAGTGCCAATGATCAGTAAAAATTTCTGAAAAAGGTGGTGAAGAAGAGCAGGGCAAATGCTACCCGATACCATAGGGATAGGAAATGACATTCTGGCTTTGAGCTAGAGGACAGAAATGTGAGGCAAAACCAACAGAAGGCACAAACTGAAGCCAGCAAATATACATCCAGAGATGCCATCTCAGGGCTATGAAATGGCTAAAGGGATCAAGATTACACATGTTCTTTAACCAAGAAACCACAGCCTAGGGCTCTTGAGATGCCTACCCTGCTGAAGCCACTGAAGCACTGAACTCATCACAGCCTCTGTCGTCAGCATGGCATAGAGGCTTCTGCTCAGTAACATGAGATGAGACAAAGGATCAGCAACACATCTTAAAAGAATCTCAGACCTTCAGTATTCCAGGAACTAATCAGTTCATGAATTTCCAAGTGTACAAAGGTTTGACAAATTATGATGTAGATGAGTTTCCTATGGTAATATAAAAACATGGAGAGTTGATACTGCTTGAGCATGATCCCCTCTCAGAATGGGGATATACAGACATGCATATCTAGACAAAGATGTCTAGATACATGCATGTCTAGATAAAGGTTGAACATGAAAGGGCATGTCACCATTTGGAACAATTTAAAACTTGACTGTGTGACTGTAATCAACTTGCTTAGAGACTTACATACTTGTTCATAGTAGTAGCAAGATAAAAAGTTTTGTGATGCATTCAGAATTCATCGTAAGAAGCCATATAAGAAGATACTGTTACAGAAGTCCAGATCTTACAGTAGCAGTCAGATGTACTTAGAAGAGTCTTTTCATTAGCTCCCAGTTTTAGGAACTGACTGCTCTGGACACAGGGATGACTAGCCTTCTGTGAATTCTGACATCTGATATGGGAGGAGGTGAGACTTGTGCACATAATGAAAACATGAAAATTAAAGTGATGAAGAAAAATTCACACCTGCTGGAGTGCTGGCTTCTGCTACGGAATAGAGATTATCCATCCTGAGGAGAGCAAATTTGACCCTCTGTCACTTGGTGAAAATCTTGAACTAGAATTTGCAAGTAAAAGTGCTATTTTAACTCCAGAACAGGTCCTTCCTTAAGGCAATACCTGCTGCAAAATTCCCTTCCCTTAAGAAGACAAGGAAACAATCTTTCAGCTCACTTCTTATTTCACTGAAACAGGGAAGGTGATGGGGCAGGAAGGTACATCAGAACTAAATGCTGTAACCCTTTACGATTTTGTTCAAAACATAGTGTCTTGATGACCTGCAGTTTCAAGGCATAGCTAAGATACAACAGCCTATTTCTAAAGAAGATTCAAACTTGTTGACACAGATTGCCTTACAGTTCCTTGCATACAATAAAGAGGTTGGGCAAAGACTTGCATGCACAACAAAAAAAATGACCGTGACTGCCTACCTCAGGAGTTTCTGTTTTTTCTGAGACTCTACTGATGGAGATAAATAGCCCATATTAGATGAGACACTAACCTGAAAAGCTGGAAGCAAAGTTTTATGTCCTGCATGTGGATCGTATTTTCATGGAAGTAGGGATAGGCTATATAGTCTAGTCCTGGATAAACTAAGGATGTCATTGCCTTCACACTTAACAATAAGTAAACATCCTCAGAAACAGCTTTGGATTAATTAAGGTCGTGTGAGACAGGTTTGAGAAATTATCAAACTGAAATAGTGAAAAAGCACTTTGCTTCATGGTCTCCTACGCTGAGACAGCTGAGAGGAAAAAAACAGTCACAAGAATGCCATTTGTTTAAAATGGTTATGCAATTCCTATGATGACATAGGCCTGCAGAGGCTTCAGCTGCGTGCAAGTCATCCCTCAGAGACAGGGCAGATGGAGGTCCCTTGTTGAAAATGTTACTCATTGCTAAAGTGAAAGGAACAATGACAAGCTCATGATTTGCCTTCACTTTCAGAAGTTTCTTAGACACTGAACACACAGCACTTTACACTGAGTCCTAAAATGTTTTCAGGCAGCTGTTCTTCAGTAGTACCTATGACGTTATGAACTTCATGGAGAAATACTGAGCTGAACCCTGGGATCAATGTCAAGATCCTAAAATTTATCTCAACCTTCTGCTGTTCTTACCAAAGACTAAAATGGCAAGGCCTTTGTAAAAAGAGAGGGTCTAACCAGAGGCGTAAGAAAGTGCCTTAAGAGCCTCAGGAGAGTCAAAATTGGAAAGTGTAATTTTTTTCTTCACAAGTAGCAAAAAAAGAAGTTACTCCAATTTGAAGTGAGGCTTCAAATTTGTCCCATAACCCATAACTCAGCCATAACCTCTTCACATTGTAGATAGCAGAATCACAGATTTGTTCTGGAATAAGACTAAATAAGATTCCAAAACAGACAGATCATTGTCAAATGTGCAAAGCTACCAAAAACCTTCTCTGGAAATCTTGGAGAACTTCCAGCTTCTCCAGCTCTTGATTACAGGTCAGATGAAAAAGCAATGCTGGTCAATGTTTTCCTTCTTCCTAGACAGCAGAAAATGAGTATTTGTGCCCTTGTGCAAGTCTGCATGTCTGGGTAGGAAAGGAGACTGAATGTTGCCAAAGAGGTAGTTCAGAAACTTTTCCTGATGCTCCTTTCTTACCCTAGGACTGAGGTCCTGACAAAAGAAGTAGACAAGCAGGTTATTTACATTGCTGAAGACAGATGAGTGCTTTCAAGTTATGCACTGAAAAATTAAGCAAGCTTAAAGCCACATCACTGAGTAGGAGAAACCACAAGTGAAAAGAACTATATTAATTTTCTGAAAAAAACACGTAACAAGACAAAGTACTCAAAAAGAACACTGAACATAGGGAAGTAAAAGAGGTCATCACAACCAGAACTAGGAAGGAAGTGCTCTGCCATCACTGGAGTTGAAAGAATGAAGAGCTTTCTTCTTCCCATGGGTGGCTGGGGCAGGGAAGGTGAGGCACAAAGCAGGTGCTCTACAGCCACTAATACAACTGAACCATCTCCACCCTGCCTGAATGGGAACCTGAATAATTCCTGCAAAATGGAGGTAATAGTTTTAGCAACTTTCACAAGCCTCGAGTAAATTATGTCATTCATTTTTAACTTTACTAAAAGCAATGTAATTCAAGGATCAGAAATACTCAAAAATTGAACACGCATGAAAGCAAACTTCATCATTCTACTAACAGGTTCACCCTTAAAAATGCTGAATCTTTAAGGAAATTGGATCGGTAACTATTAGGAGAGAAAGCTTACATTCAAGTTTAACAAACTGGTTTACCAGTTTAACTGATAACAACAACCCAATGCCTATTATTTCCAAAAGTAATATAAAAAAATTAAATTGCATAGGCAAATATCAAAAAGGTTGAAAATATAGCTTTCAATAGCACAATATTCTACTGTCCTCTTCTGCCTCGCTGCCACTTACCCCAACAGACTCTACGGCTGCTCTTACAAACTTTCCTTCCAGCTTCCATTTCCTAACCTTTCCCAGCTTTTCTTCTTCACATTTGTAAGTACAGTCCAAAGTGGTACTCTCTCTCCTTTTACACTGCCTGTAAGGCCAGAAACACTGATAGAACAAGAAAAATCCTTCCTAATACTTCCTGTCATGGAGCCCTCCAGAAGAACAATTCAATAAAAAGCTTACCTGTTCCTACAGCTGTCAGAATATTAAACCCAAAAAATCCCTGTTGTGAAAAGGAGCTTAAGGTAAAGCAGAGTATGTCTGCTGCAAACTCACCTTCAGTGCACTAAACTAACAAATCCATCAAGTATATGGAAATTGAGAGTATTTCTGCTTTTGTAACTTGGCCAAAACTTGATTCTTTTCAATGGGAAAACCACCGACTCACATTTCCTGGATGCCAAAGCGATCCTGTTTCCTCCCGCCTCACAGTTACCAAGTTTCTGCACAAAAGCAAAGCTTTGCAGAAGGTTGGGCTTTTTACCTTGAAGCAAACACAAGCTCAGTTTACAAGAGTAAAAAAAGAAAAAGAGGGCCAAGAGCAGCTTATCAGGGAACACTTCTCTTTATGTGATTTAGACATGATGATGATGGTACAAGGAAGTGCAGGCAAGAAAGTATCAAGATTACTAATATGCTGTTCTTCAGTACACCACCTCTAGAAATTAAAACTCTTTTATACCGTTTTTTACAGGTGACTTTCTATGTATATCATTAGTAAACGGATTTACACAGTTACGCTACAATCTCGGAGACAAGACAGTCATCCTACAGGCCCTTCAGAAGGTCCGTGCAAATGGAAATACATGGCACTTACTCCAAGCAGGAAGAGTTGGCAATGAAGGCTACCTGGACCTGGATGGTATCAACGTTACTCAAAAAGCTAGTCCTGGAATGAATGTACTAGACACACACACAGATTTTTTTGTTGGAGGGGTGTCTTCCTTAAACCTTGTTAATTCAATGGCAGTAGAAAATGAACCCATAGGTTTCACTGGTTGCATTCGAGAAATTGTTATAAACAACAGGGAACTGAAGCTTACTGCGACTGATCCCAAAGACGGAGCCAACGTTGGTGACTGTGACGGAACAGTTTGTGGGTACTCAGTGTGCAAAAATAACGGAACATGTCAAGTTGAAAACTCAGGCTTTTCTTGTTCTTGCCCACACGAGTGGACAGGGACCACATGCGAACAATCTGTTCACTGTTCACAAAACATGTGTGGGTCTCAAGCGCTCTGTATTCCTCAACCTTCTTCATTTTCATATACCTGTGTATGTGCACTAGGCTGGTCAGGTAAGTACTGCGATAGCAAAATCAAATTTTACATAGCAAAGTTTGTTGGCAACTCCTACATTAAATACACAGATTCTTATTACAGAAAAAGAGACCTCCAGTACAGCCGCATTTCTTTAAATTTTACTACCAATCAAACTGAAGGCCTAATAGCATGGATAGGCAAAAGTGAAGATGAAGATAATGACTTCCTTGCCATTGGTATTGCCAATGCAACGTTAAAAGTTGTGGTTAATCTTGGAGAAAGAATCTCTGTTCCTCTAATGCACAGAAAATACTTCACCTGCTGTGACGGAAGATGGCATTTTGTTACTGTAGTTCAAAACCAAACCTGTATGAAGGTATATCTTGATGAGGAGCTAATTCTTTTTGAAGACATTGATCCACAAAGAAAATACACTGCTTTAAACTATGGTGGCATTTGTTATTTTGGTGGGTTTGAAATTGGCAGGAAAGTCAATGTAGTCACTACAGGGCTTTTTCAGAAGGAATTCATTGGTAAAATTAAAGATGTTGTGCTCTTCCAAGATTCCAAGAAGATTCAGCTAATGAATGCAGAAGGGTACAATGTTTATGATGGAAATTCTGGAAATTAATTGAAAAAATGTTCAAGACTCTGTCAAAGTGATAAACTTCCTTTTCCTCCTGTTTCTTGTGTTAGTTGGCAGTGTAATACTCAGAAACCAACAGAAGAAAGCTTTTCATTAAGAAAAAAAAAGTAATTAGGGACAATGTTATGTTGAGTAATAATAGATATAAGACATGTTTTACTCCTAAAATTACTTACTTATACTCTTTAGTATTTACTTTAAAATAATGGGAAAGTCTGCAGGATTTTTTATTTATTGTGCTGGAAATAGTTTTGTCAACAAATAGATAGTAATTAGCTTACAAAGCCAACCATCATTCAAGTGTTTTGTTGCTTTATGAGAACAGACAACTGTTAACCTGTTTCGCCAACTCTCAAATTTTATTAGTGTTTCTCTTATAATTTTATAACATTAAGGTCAAGTGTAAAAACTGAAATTGGGGAAGGGAAGAAAAGGTGTATTTGGGGCAAAAAGCACATATCTACTGTAATCAGAATTTTTTAAATCATAACAGCTGTAATCACTTGTTAAGCCCACAAAGATCCTCATTAGGTAATGAAGTTCTCCCTCCCTTCTAAGTCTCTGTCCATCCTGTATGCATTTATGTAAAGCAGTAGAGCTTAGCATGAACACAGGCTTAAAATATTACACTTAAAGAATGATTTTAAGAGCAGAAAAGGTATTTCACTTAAAAGAGATAAAAAAGGTCTGCTGGTTTTCTCCAGCAGAGGTCTCCCCCTATTAGACTACATGAAAACTTTTTGCTTTAACAATTCACAGCTGGAATGTGGGAATGTGGCATTCTGTCTACAAGTAACTTCTATTCCTAAGAGCTTAAAAATCAGAAAGTCCAAGAACTGCTTTGCTTTAGCTACACCTTTCTGGCTTATATGCCCCTAAATAAGATATCAAAATTTTACTAGACAAAGGTTTTGGTCATAACAAACTGAATTTCCCTGACTATATCTTTCATTAATTCATAATATCAAAAGTAAATAGAGCTCTTCATGTATAAATGCAAAAATTATATTCCCTCTGAAAAAGTTCAGTTATATTCTGCTTCAGGAAGCAACAAAAAAAAATCTAGTTTATTTTAATGTGCTCAAACCAATGATTTATCTACATCTACATTTCTCATTTGACTGCTGGGTTACTATATAAATAAAATGCTTCAATAAAAATAATAGTGATTGATTCCTATCTTTTCTTTTTTTACTTTTCTATTGCTCAAAAGCACATAATAAAACATCACCTCCTTGCATGGTAATTCTCTGAATACGAGTTTTCAAAATGTAAAACCAGGTCAGAAACAAGTAACTATTCTGGGGCAGGGGGGAGGGAGGTGAAGGCAGGGTGTGTGTTTATCTTTCCATAAGGCAGATATGGAGCAGAGACAATAAGCACCTAAAACTAGGTGACACACACTTGTCTCCATATAACCATACCTCGTATGTGCAATGAATGCACTGCCAAGTCAGTTAACAGGTGACTTGAAGATTACTGCTGTACACTTTGGCTATGGAACTATCCCGAGATGTTTTATTAAGCATCCGCAAACATATTTGTGAGGTTCTTTCTATCTTCTGCTGCTGCTCTGAGGCCCCAAGTGATCAGCTTGATGCAGCAGAGCTTCTTCGCCTCTTCCCAACAGGCAGCTCACAAAGCTCAATTAGCATTTGAGTCGTCCCCAGATTCTTCTCTTCCAGTCTCTCTAAGTAGGGCCTTTTATCACCACGTGATGCTGGAGAGGGGAGCATATTTAGCGTTTGTCCTGTTCCCTCTAGGGCTTCTGGTGTACTGCCAGTTCCTCAGCAGTGCACACTGCCCTTTGTGATCTGAGCAGTGAGTCAAGGTAAAACAAGGAACAAGTAATCAAAGCAGTTCCAGCTAACACAAGTGTTGGAAGGAGACTGACTGAAGGCAACAGAGAAGATAAAATCCTTTATTCCTGTAGTAACAGGATTTATTCCCATTACACTAACTCAGATCCTAGGAACATGTCCTGCAGACTGTTGCTTTTTGTTAATTTAAACACTTAACAAAACTCTCCCTCAAGAGCTGTTTTACTGCAGCTCTCTTTAGGTTCTACATACATGAGGCAGGTAGTAAAGCACTCAGCAAACTTGCAAAATGTTTACATATTCTTTACAAACAAATTATTTCTGATAGTTCTGGCAGAAAGCATTCCCATCGCTTCCGTCCAGGCAGTTGCAATTTTTACTGCTCCCAGTTTATTTTCAAAGCACATAGATGGATGTGCGTGTGAGAGGCAGATCACCAGTGGACTGGGAGTAGAGTGCTTTTGAACAGGTCAAAACAAAATCTTCACATGGAGAGCTGCCAATTTAAAAATTACTTCCAAAACGAGAACAATGCTTAGATAAACTCATGTGCCTACAGAACTCTAATGGAAATATTTAAACAATATAACACATGCATAATACTACCAGATATATCCAATGGCACTACTGCTATAAAGACGATGGAATTAATTTGGAAAATATTAATTTAATTTATCATTTTATAAAAATGTTTAAATATTGCTTTTAGTTACTAACAAACTGAAGATTTTTTTTTAAATTAGTCTTCTCAACTATGAGTGTAAGAAACATCACCTAATAAAAGTCTACCACCCCCTTTATCCTGTGCAAGATTTTTAATTTTGATCAATTTGATCACGAAGCTACCTGCAAGGTATTCGAGTAAAATTTTACTTTAAAATATATTCATAATTAAAACTAACAATTAGGGTGTTGTTAAACTGGGAAGACCTTTCTGTAGAGAAGAGGCTTTTCTACAGCTACGTGCAAAATGTTATGTCAGCAGCATAGTAAGGTTGTGTACTCAAAGCTAAAAATAAAACGCTGAAAAACAGAACAATAAATCTCAATTTTTCTTTATATGGTGGAATATTTTTGTTATTTCTGACAGATTCAACAAGATGCCCAGTGTATTTTAAGAAGTGTAAGAGTAGGTGACTTGAGTTGGTTTTCACGTTCGCATTGTTTGGCATCAGTGGATGGTAATCACTACAAAATATCAATTTACCCCAAGTCCCAAAGGTATAAACACTCTTCTGTCCCCTCCCGCCTGTTTGTTCTCCAAAACTCAAAACAAACCAAGCCATGAAGCGTACAACAAATGTGGCATTATGTGATTCAGCTTTCCATATTCATTTAGACTACAGTTTCACACCTATGAAATCAAACACACACAGTATGTGAGAAAGTTTTATCATTTTAGAATCAAAATATCCCTTAAAATATTTACATTTTACAGTAAAAAGGATAGCAAAACACAAAGTAATGTACAAGCTTAGGTATTCAAGTTTTTGAAGCATGGAAAATGGTGGGAGAAATGAATTTACTACTACAAATCATATTTTCAAGAATTTAGGTTAAAAATGCTTTCTTTTTAAAACAAGTGCAGTTTAAAGCATTAACATTCGAGCAGCTCAGCCTTCCAATTTCTGGTCACAAACTGCTTCAGATGCTTAGGAAATACTTGAAAACTAATGAAATACACTTGAATTTTTTTATTGTACTACTGAATAATTTAAAAAAAACCCAAACTCTTCACACCACCAAGCATATTGTTTTGTTGTAATGTGTGGATTCTGAGGCTTTGCTACAGTCTTTAAAAACAGTGCAATTTAAAAAGAAGTTTATTGTATGAAAATCACCTTTAAAATTATCAGAGCATCTTAAAACAGAAGAGAGCACAAATTACCAAAGGCAGCAACTATATTGCAGACTTGACTAAAGCCAACTTCCTCAACTAACAAAATTCCTAAGCCTTTATTGCATATTAATAAAAGAAATCTTTAAAATTTTGAATATACAGCAATGTAAAATTTTTAAAAATATTAAACTCCTACTTCTAGCGATAGTTGGTATAATGAAAAAAAAGGATGAGTATTGGTACATCGAGTGGTACCAAAACACAGACTTGTTTCTGCAAAACACCAACATGGAATAAAAAAGATGGCACAATCCTAGCAGGCTCTTTTTTTATACAAAGTTTTATGACATTACTCTAACAGTTTATTTAAATAGGATTTTAAAAGACTGCCTGCATCTTTTTACCTTTTACTTTTAGTTCTGTCACTGTGGTCCCTATGTCTCTCTCTGTTCTTTTCACTTTCCCGTTCTCTATGCTTCTCTTTGTTTTTCTCCTTCTCCTTATCTTTTTCATGAGCCTGTTCTTCACTTTTAGGCTTCTCTGTCTTTTTTTCTGGATTTCTAGTGTCTCTGGGGCTTTTTCCATCAGCAGCCCTATCACTGTGTGGAGATCGCACTCTTTCTTTGTCTCTCTGTCCTTCCTCTCTACTCTTCCTCTCTCTCTCTTTTTCCTGGTTTCTGTCTCTGCGTCTGTTTCTGTCAGAATCTTGCTCCCAGTACTTTTCGTTGCTCCACTCTTTTTCATGTCTCTCTTTTTTTTGGTGATGGGTTTCACTGTAAAGCCTTTGTCGATCATTTTTTCCTCTACTGAACCCTCTCTCCAAATGCTGTTCTTCTCTGCCCCAAGGATCGCTGTGGCGTCTTTCTGGTCTCCTACTGTCTTTAGTCTGAAAAAAATTTTCTGGTCCCAAAAATCTTGATTGTTTGTGAGCCACTGGTAGCCCTTGTGCAATGGGTCCAGCATAATGTGGTGGCTGGCCTGATAAATGAGCTACTGGTGGCCATGGCATCATTGGATTTTGAGGAAAACCAAAGCCAGGAGGGGGAAGAAGCGGAGGTGGTAAATGAGGAGGAAATCCAAACATAGGGTTGTTTTGCTGAGGGAAGTTATGAGGTGCAGGAGCCTGAAACTGAAATCCAGGTGGATTAGGTTTAGGATGCTGAAAATTCTGCTGCGGAGGTCCAACAGATGAGAAGCTGCCACTTGGAACAGGGCTTGGGACTTTGGAAATAAATTCAGAACGAGAAGAATTTTCGGTTTCAAAATGAGATGAAGTTGCTGCTGGTCCTCTTCTAAATGAATTCACTGTTTCAATGTTTTGCATCAGTGCAACTTCCTGTGAGTGTTTGTTATCTTCCGCTTGTGATGCAACTGTGCTATCTGCTTTAGCTGCAGCTGAACTGAACTGCGACTCATTGGTTTGCAGATCACTTTGATACAGGTTTAAGCCCACTTCCCCAGAAGACTGTTTATTCTCTGTTTCTATTTGATCATTTCCTGAAGGATTCTGTCGGTCTTCACTTCTGCTAACGTCTCCATCCTTGTTTTCTGAAGTATTAGTCTGCTGGCTTCGTCCAGCTGCCTGTCGTGGGTCTCTTTTAAGATTAATAAATGGTGGTGATTTAGAAGTACTAACAGTGGTACCTTCAGCAGAACCTACACTAACATTGTTCTCAT